CTCATGCATGTTGACCACAGCGGGGCTCACGCTTAATGGTCTCATAACCTGTAGGCTACTGGGGCAAAAGAGACTTTCACCCTCTACCTCTACCCCCCCCTTACCACCCCCTTCCACCCTCTACCCTCTCTACCACCCCCTCTACCGCCTCTACCACCCTCTTCCACCCCGTATTACTACTACCACCATTATCAGATTAATCAGAGCTGTACGCAGTACAGGCTGCAGAGCCGGCTGTTCAATCCCATTCATGAATTCAAAGAGGTGCACATGACATCACATGAGATCATGTTACAGGGCATTTAGCAGCGCATGCCATGAACACAGAGATCAAAAATGAACATAGAGAAGAGTATAAGGAATGTATGAAAAGAGCAGAATAAAAAAAAGAATGAAGATTTGAAGATTGATCTGAGCTGTATGAGCTGGAGAGCAGAGCTGAGCTGAGCAATATTTTTGATGAGGTGCAGGTGATGTCACATTATAGCGTTTTTGAATGGAAAAGTCGGTTTTTCTATAATAAATAGAGAGATAGAGAGAAGAGATAGAGAGATGTGGAAGTTTGACCTCTTGGCTGCTGTGGCATAGGTCGTTGAGATTCGCCCCTATCCCCAAAAAGTAAATCCCCGCGCAATTGTCGCTGGAGCAATAAGGTTTCATGTCAAGTTTGGTAGCGAAGAAATCTAAGTTAATCGGCGCCCTGGCGTGGTTCCCAAGATTGGCTCATGCCACGCGAGCTAAATAATCCTTGAACAGGAAATGACCATTGGGCGAGAGGGACAAGGGGAGGTGACTAGACCCAAGATATTCAATTAAATTGTCCCTGTATCGAAGTTAAGTACTCCGTATAAGTCTCTAGAACTTGCCTCTAATAAGCTTAGCTCAGGCTGCTCGTTCACTTTCGACTCGGGTCGAATGACAACAGCTAGAAATATTATCTCACCTCCACGACACACAAGCCACAAAAACTGAAGGTTTTCGCATAATAAACTCAGTTTTTCCAAGCTGCAACTTGATTGATTGTCGTCGAGAGAAATTTTTCTGCCTGTCCCTTTAGTACCTGGCCAGACCAGGTTGATGCCGTTCGACTGAGTCATTTGACCCAGTGGTCTGTTTTAAACAAAAGTTAGTTTACTTTAGTATGCAAAACATTGCCGGCAAGAGGATCTGGATTGTACTAGGAACGACCCTTGATGAAAGAAGTATTGTCGTGGATAGTGGAGAGACAAGAGCATCGATGCAGTTGCGGGCAGGGAACAATAGAGGGATCCTGCAAGCACCTTTCGCAGTAATGGCTCCTTATATGGTTTAATGTCATGTAAATTATAGTGTTCAGTGGTGTTTTTAATTAACACCACTATCACACAGGTGGATCTGTACGTGTGATGTTTCCACACAAATTCATATGTAGTATATGCATGTAATTAGTGCTGTACAGCCTTCCTTATTCAGTTAGTTATAATAATTGGTGCTTCATCATCAAGTTAGCCTCATATCTCATATTGTTGTAAGGCAGATTGATCATCAACTCCACCTAGGCCTTTCTCTATCCATGTTATCTATCCCCCTGATTTGCATTCACAATTGCCATACCAACCATTATTGCCATCAAGCCCTTATATTTTCAAGATTGAAATCAAAACAGGGTATATGGAATGGGTGGCTGATATTGATATGAAAGACCTCACTTTTTTTATTATTATCAGAGTTCAAAATAACTGTACAAGCAGTGTAGCGGCGGTAGAGGGAGCAGCGGCAGCAGCAGTGGCAGTGGCAGCTGCAGCTGCTTATTACAGTGATGGATTATTATTATATCCATTACCCGGCATACAAGAGGTTTTCAATTAGATGAATACAATATTTACAAGGCCTATGCCACGGCATCGCCGAATCGTGGCATCTATGCCTATATAGGAAGGCCGTGCGTACTAAATATTTCATGAGACTTGGCGCTGCAGGATCCCTCTAATGAATAATCTGTCAGGGACAAAAATTGTGGGCAGAAGAGAGAGTACAATGCCCGGCGGATAGAACGATCACACGAACAACAACGCTGGGTGGGGTGGTTGCGGCTTGGGGTGTTGACCGTGTGAGTGGTGTGGGGAACCCTAGCTAAACGCGTTTGTTCTTGGGCCGCGGCGCAAGATAACGCTAAAGCAGCCAATGAGCCCAAAAATTGAACGAGCTAGAAATTCTAGAACGAAGTTGACATTCCTTGGGATCCCGTGGCGCGGGTCCGATCTGGGGTTATGCGTGCCAACTGGAGGATCTTCCCTGCACATCCCATTCATAAACAGTCGAAAATCCTGCAGATGCCCGCCAAACCATCCCTTGATGTTTTGCTTTCAATAATAATGAAGTGGCTGTATGCATTTACGCCCGTCATATCCAAAATGTGGCAAGCGAGTACCTGGAGAGTAATCACTTGATAAGTTGATATTCAGCATTGTCTTCTTCTCGTTCCCTATCCTTCCCGCTCTCTGGTTTGTGGCGACTGTTAGGAGTAAACGGTAATTCCAGTTACCTCCCCTGTCTTTCTTATTTAGTAAAGTATAAGGCCCTAGAATTTGGATGCATCTTGAACGACAAACATAACTCCATTTATACGCGATGGGGTCAGACACTTGGGGCCCTCACCATATCACCGACGATGATCAAGGTCCATTGGTCACGATTATAGCTAGCCTCATGATGGTGTACATGATATTCTGTTACCTTGCAAGATTACTCACGCGATTGTCAATCAATGGGCCATTTGGATCTGACGATTGGGTTATCACCATCGGCACGGTGAGCGAACGTTTTCCTATTTTTACAACTTCTCATTATCATGTTGCCACGCGTTTGGAACCAGCCCATGAGTAAGTAGTAACTGATGCAATTTTCCGTTTTATCGAGGTCAGGCAGTCGCAATTATACATTCGAGCGTCAAATTGGTAGAAGTTCGCGACGGTTTTGGAAAGCGGCTACCGTTGCTCGAGGACTCGGATATCCTGAACATACAAAGGGTAAGGGGTCCTACGCAACGACCAAGGCTCGAATCACACGTTCTGACCAGATTCAATTTAGGCGGCGTATGCCGGCGATATTTTTTATGTCCTTGGGCTGATGTTGTCGAAAGCCGGGACGTTCATGCTCATAGGCCGTCTCACAAGATACACAAGGCTTGCTACCGCGGCATGGGCCGGGCTTCTCCTCACAGTTGTGTGGGGAATTGCAGTGTTTTTAGCTGTTTGCTTTAGGTGCAAGGTTCCAAGCCCTTGGACCCAAACAGATTTAAAATGTTTCCAAGCGGTATGTTTCCCTTCGATTTGTACTCGGTTTGACTGGACATCGCTAATTCGGGTTTAGTACCCTACATGGATAGGTGTTGAAACCTCCGGCATTGGAATGGAGCTCCTATTGGCCTTGCTTCCAGTGTATATTGCCTGGGGTCTGCACATGCAATTGAAATCGAAATTAGTACTTCTCTTCGCGTTTTCATTCCGTCTTCCGTAAGTACTTTGGCCCGTAGAAGGGTCAGGCATCCCGGTAACTCTATAGGTGCAGCACGGATGCTAATTTTGGAGAAGTGTGATCATAGTTGCCGCATTGCGTATTTTCTACCTCCGGAAACAAGACATGATGGATGACCCCTTTTTTTATGGAACAATCCCATCGGTTTGCATGGAGGTAGAACTGCATTATAGTCTTATCGCCGCGACGATCCCATGCCTCAAGCCATTCGTTAAGTCGTTCAACACGGGGTATCTGGGCCGCATAGAGATCATCCCGGATTCTTTCAGAGACACAATACCCTTACAGACTTATGAAACCCCAAAAATGTCGGGTGGGAGGGATAATCCATCGTTTGGGGAGGGCGGCAATATTTCCATCGAAACGAACATAGTAGTAACGGACTCAAGAAGTATGTAGTTAGTAATATTATGTATAAATTTCTTGTCACATCAACGATTCCTAGATCTCTAGTCCCTTATCTACACATAGGGTGGGGGGGTAGAGCGGTAAACATAGCTTCAACCATATACCAACACCAGAATTACTACCCCGGAGGGTTTGGTCTCTTTGATCTTTTGATCTTTTCCACAAGTTCGATGCCACACCGATGAACGGGTAGCGTTGGAGGAAAGTTGGCGAGTGAGGTTGATAGTTGGTTACGGTTCCTCCGTATCACGTGACACCAGAACCGCCAAGCAGGTTCCGATAATAATTATATCAGTCCGCTCAACTTCTATAACCAGGTTCACGTTCTTAAAAAGACACTGTTTGGGGGGGTTTCATTAAATTCAACAAAACGTCTACAAAATCGCAACAAGACGTAATTCCATATTCCACCCCATTCATTATCCAACTTTGACCGCAAGGGAGCGAATATCTGAAACCACCCGCAGAACGCCTCCATTGCTCTTTTCAATGGCGCAGCCCATTTCCCTCACCGGTCGACCGGTCGCCATATCGTTAAGATCTAAGTCCCTAAATATCGGAAAGTCTTCCACTCGAATAATACCCTTAGTTGCTCTTCGGCCGCGAACTTCCCTCATTCCGCACCGCCCGCATTATTGCCGATTTAGGCATATCCATTCTTGCGCAAAACACCCACGACTTCCGAACCCCTCCCTCTCTCATTCCCGTCCCTACCATTCCTCTTTCCCCCCTCCTATAGAAACTCTAGCAGACACATACACTCCGGAACAGTCTGCAATTCTCTCCGCGGCAGTAAACCATATTCCCGAGCATGGATTCACGGCCCATTCGCTTACACTGGGGGCTCGGGATGCCGGATACTTGGATGTCTCATTACAGCTGTTCCCGGGCGGTGGGGAGATTGCGCTTATAACCTACTGGTTGGGAAGTCGGAGAGGTATGTTAAGGCAGAAAGCTAAGAGCGGAGAACTTTTTAGGACAACTGAAGGTGGAGAAGCAGGAAGGTTAAGCGTGGAGGAGAAAGTGTTGGTATTGATATTGGAGAGATTAAAGATGAACGAGAAGATAATCGAGCATTGGCAGGATGTGAGTGCCTTCTCATCTTATATATCCTCGATTATATAGGCCTTTTATATTGCTATATTGGTGGAGTTCGACTAACATCACAACCAAACACAGGCGTTAGCAACCATGTCTCTACCCTTTAATATTGTCCCGTCAATTTCTGAGCTATATGCGCTCTCCTCTGACATCCTCTATCTGGCCAACGACAACTCCGTGGACTCTTCGTGGTACACAAAGAGACTCGCCGTCGCGACTGTTTATGCCAGCGCCGACGTTTTTATGATAGAGGATACTTCCCCGGGCTTCAACGCGACGAAGGCATTTGTCGAACGGCAACTCAGCGATGTCAACTCTGTTACTAGGACTCTAAGCGAAGCTAAGCGGTACTTGGGGTTTGTCGCGGGTAGTGTTGTTGGAGTGGGGAGGAGTTGGGGAATGAAGGTATGAGGCAATATGGTGATTTTCTCGCAATTAAGCGGGGGAGAAATGGTAGACTAGCAAGGATGAACGCAGGGTTAATGCCGTTCTTTGTAGAATGTATATTAATTACCATGTAAGATAAAAGGAGTCATTCGGTGCCTGTTCTTCTGCTGGAACTTTCATCCTTGTTGCTTTTTACCATGTTTTAATTGTTGTTGAAGGCCACAAAGAGGATAAGAGATGGCAAGCCCAACAAAATGTCTCTAAAACGTCGGAGGCATATTGTATATCTTGGTTACAGAAGGATAAATATGTAGCACAATAATTATAAATCAAGTGGAGTTTTTCCGTCGCGTTCCTGTCCTGACTTGAAGTCATATCTATGCCGTGCACCAAAAATAAATAAGAGGACAGAAGTAATTAATTGGGCAACGTGGGCCACCGCAAAGATGTTAAAAGCAAAGCCCGAAATAGTATCATTTCCGAATTTCCCACTCCTCTGCATCATCTTCGATATATGGCATGAAGTTCCTGCGACGTCTATGCAGACGTGAATATTCTGAGCTAGCTGACCCTTTGATATCCACCGGCAACTTCCTGTGCATCTTTTCCGTTATTTTAGATTTATGGCCCTCAAATCTGCGCAGTCTCTTAACTTTGGAAAACAAGCCTTCAAACTGTCCCTTTATGCCGACGAAGTCCTTGTATGCACGAAGTGCGGGGTCGAAGGCCCATGGGGTTCCTTTGACAAGAGCAGTCGCTGAAGATCCGCCCAGTAGCCGCTCTTCTCGTTTCTGAGTGAATATCTCATCAAGCAGCTCTATTGTACGGCTAGAAATTGTAGCTCCGTTGTCCTCCATCTCTTGTAAAAGTGAATTCACCTGCGGAAGGTTGTTGTGGACATGCCAATGATAGGATATTAATTCGTTAAAGATCTCTGTGTCTGACGCGAGAAGACGGGCGATGCGCCCGCGAGCTTTGATGGCAGCATGCATCTGTATTGTTATTTCTGACATGGGGAAATGAGAATGAAGTAGACGCAGAGCGTAGAGGAGGGTTGCGGGAAAGGCGTGCAAAACAAAGGGTTTCCGGGGTATACCAGGAGGGATATATAGAGGATTACTGGATGGCGAATTATTAAGGCTGGCCGCTTCTGATTCCATGTCAGTTTTCGCGTGATGTTTCTGAGAATTGCGCTTATCCGCCCGGCGCATACGTTGTGTTGCAGTCCCATACCGGGGCATAGTAGACGTTATGACTTCGTCTTCAACGGAAAAAAGCTTCAGCATTGCGAATATGTGCTCTTCGCACACGTCCCAGATTCCAATGTCTCCCTTCCCGCTCGATATACAATCATCCAGTTCAGCGCTTATTTGCTTGATTGCCCGGTTTCCTACTTCCCTGGCGAGTTTACCTGGTCCAAATGCACCCATACCGGATACTACTTCATCTTTATCACCAGCAGCAAAACCATAAACTTTCCCCTGGTATCGAAGGGTTTGTTCTCCGTCTGTATTGCGATCTGGCATGTCAACCTCCTGCCAGTTTTCTGGATTGTCTTTCCGTCTCCTAACAGCCTTCTCAAAAGGAATATGGATTGCCTTTTCTAAGGGAGCCCGTTCGATGCTTCGCACGCCGAGGGGTTCATCCGTGCTCTGACGAGACATGGTATTCTCTTGCCATGTTTTGGGTCTAGCCCGTTCACTAGAAGCTATTTTCGTGAGAGGCGCAGATTTACCGGCTTTGGCAGTTCCTAACTTGATCTCAGACCCATAACTACTTCGATGTCTATCGCCCATACGAGCCCAGTCGGGGGTTCTCTCGATTGGGTCCGACTCTTTAGAAGGGGCAGGGTCTTCCAATGTCACCCTAGCCTTTTGTAGGTCCGGGGTCCGCGCTGTATCTTTCTGTGTAGTGGGTATCATACCGGCCAACGTGCCACCACCCGGACGAGAAAATATCGAGGATGGCTTTTCATGAGTGACCACCTCCGAAAAATGGGAATACCCCGGCGAGGCATCGCTTTTGGCATTCGAAGAGGACTTTAAAGTATCAAGAGCGGAAGCAAGTAGGTCCCAGTCTCGATCTTTGTCGCTACTTTTCTCAGAGCTAGATTGCGAGAGCGGATCAGAGAATTGATGGGAGGAGGAAATGTCACCCGGTGAGTCGTCTTGCGACTTCGGAGTGGTCCATGTGTCTGGTGCTGGGAAAGCGCATTCGCTATTTCGATTCTTAAATTGGACGAGACGTGACTGATATAATCTCCTGGAAGCGGGAGGAGATGTGGGCTGTGAGAGTGTGAACGGCGACGATTTATATCGGAGAACTGGTCTGGTCAGAGTTCGAGTATGATACAGAAACGAAAGAAAAAAGCCATCACTCTGATATGGGACAAATCCCCGGTGTAAATTCCCAACCATGGTTATAAAGATGAAATTCTGCCACAACTAACTTATTCTAGTTCCCTTGCAAGCTCCCTTGCAGGTTTCCTGTTGTCGACGGAGAGAAGATAACAGGATCGAATTTTGATACAGGAGCGATATCACATGATTATCTTATGAACTATACCTAAACAGGAACAAAGGAGATGAGATCATGTGCTTGCGCGACCGCTCTACGCGCGTTTATTGACTGAGTTCTGAGTTTGACGGATACGAACCTTGGAATCGCGAAAACTCCAGAGCGAGCATTGAACAGTGTGGTGTCTCCATCGAGATATCCGGGACCTCTCGAGGCCGTTGCTTGGTCCTTTAGCCGTATTCTCCTTTCTGTAACGCTTGTTATTATTACTTATTTGAGCTATGCCCCACACGGAATCCGTCCCAGAGTTGTCCGATTTCGAAAAGCAGCGCGCAGCCAATATCGCGGAGCGTGATGCGCTTTTGAAAAAGCTTACTCAGGAAGCTCAATCCTCCGGACTATTTACCAAAGGTTCTTCTACTAAATCCTCCAGGCCGGTGTCACAGTCTACTAAAAAGACTCCGGCAAAACGCGTCAAGAAAGAGAATGAAGCGCCAGTACCGCGAAGAACGTCCTCACGGCTTGCTGGATTGGCAGCCGATAGCGAGATAGCAAAGCGCAAAGCTGATGAGCAATATGAAGCTCAAAAGGCTGCTGCGCAAGCGAAAAGAATTCGGGTTTCCGGTGATCTTAAGATGGGGGACATACTTGTTGGAGGCCAGAAATGGGATGGGTCGTTGTTTCTCGGAGAGGAGGCTGCTCCACCGCGCTTTGCGCGAACTTTTGGCGGAGATGATATTGAGAAAACGACAAACAAAGAGCTGAAGTCCTTAAGGGAAAAGATGAGCGGCTTGAATCTTTGGGAGCCATGGGAGCCAAATCGTGAGTATTGCCAAATGTGGAATATCACCAATTAACGTAAAAGGTTAATAACGACACGATATAGGGATAAAAATAACACCGGAAAGAGTATATTCAATGGTCTTTCACCCCACTGAGGCTAAGCCCCTAATATTTGCCGGCGACAAGCTCGGCAACTTGGGTATCTTTGACGCTTCACAAACACTCCCTGTTGCCGTGAAAGTTGAAGACGACGAAGACGAGGACGACGATGACCCTGACCCTATAATAACAACCATAAAGCCACATGCCAGAACAATTAGCTCGATGCATCTTCACCCTTCAACGCCATCCAAACTCTACACAGCCAGCTATGATGGCTCCGTTCGAGCCTTGGATCTTGAGAAGTCCATCTCAACGGAAGCCTACGCACCCGCCTCAAAGTCAGACGAAGAGGCAGTCTCCAGCGTGGACATGGCACCAGACGACCCGCACGTCCTATACTTTACCACACTTGAGGGATTCTTCTTCCGACACGACACGCGAATGTCAGGAAACGGGCACCCAAGTTATGATAAGGATACTAAAAGGAGTAGCACAGATATCTACCAGCTGTCAGAGAAGAAAATCGGTGGATTTTCCCTCTGCCCTTCACAGCCGCATCTCTTTGCAACTGCCAGTTTAGACCGCTTCATGCGTCTCTGGGACCTTCGGCAACTGTCCAGGAAGCACCCGACGCCGGTCGGCGAACATGAGAGCAACTTGTCCGTTTCGCATGCCGCGTTCAACAGTGCGGGTCAGGTCGCTACCACTTCGTATGATAATACGGTCAAAATTTACGATTTTGGAGCTAAGGGTTTCCATTCATGGAAACCGGGTCACAAGTTGAGCGATGATGACATGAGCCCAACCACCACCATCAGACATAATTGTCAGACGGGACGATGGGTCACAATGTAAGTTATGCGCCCTTTTTCTCCTCCACTTGGGAATACTGCCATTCTCCAAAGTAGCGCAAATATTAGCTCTACCCACAAACCTAACAGTAATTCCGTCCAGCCTCAAACCACAATGGCAAGCCTCCCCACAATCAAATGGCATACAGCGCTTTTGCATCGGAAATATGAACCGTTTCGTAGACGTCTACTCCGCCGCGGGTGACCAATTAGCTCAGCTTGGCGGTGAAGGGCTAATAACTGCCGTCCCCGCCGTTGCCGTATTACATCCTACCATGGACTGGGTTGTGGGAGGTACTGCGAGTGGGAAGGTTTGCCTATGGATGTAAGGTGATGATGAAGGGGAGGGGAGAGATCGCCTAGGTGGCTTAGGGGGTGGGAGCGGAAAGCTGAGAAGGCAAGGAAAATGCTATTCCTCGCTTTTATTTGCGTTTTTCCTTCAGGTTACTTCTAGACTCTAGGTGATAAGTATTTTGTAACCTGATATGTGGAGGAGGCAAGGAGGGAATAATAAACTAGGGCAATTTAAGGCGTGATATAAGACCTTAACAAAATATACGTGTATATTGGATGTATGGCAAAGCTAAATTTTCATGTTCATATCCTTCAACCAAGCTACCGCTGCCGTGAATACGACAACTCACGACTCTTGGAATCATTTTGTCCTATAAACCCGCGAAAGCACAGGCCCAATAACCTGAGGGTACATGGCACGTATCATCCGCGGCAGAGGTCCAGTCCATTTATAACAGTCTTGAGGGAAACTCATTCTTGCCACTCCGAGTTTCGTCGTTGAGTCTCCGCTTCTTCAGAGGAACAGGCACAGACCCTGACCCAAATGTATTAGAAGAGAGGGCTACTGATCTTCTTCTGTGGTCCAAATTAATAGATATATTATCACCACCTGAGGTGTTATTTGGGGGAGCGCTTTCGTCAGTGCTAGTTGGTACGGATGTCGATCGAGCGCTCCAGGGCGTGAGGGTTGTAGTCAAAGAACTCGCGGTTTGTTGAATCCCAGAGTCATGGGCAGATGGGGTTGGCCTATCGTCATCCGTGGGACCTGTAAGAGAGGATTTTGGGGCAGAGCCGAAATGGGCTTCATTGGGGGATTTCGGTAGCAATACGGCAAGTTCACAGGGCAGAGTAACATTTCGTGCCGCCCCCGTTTCGGAGTTTGATGCTTCTTCGCCTGGCTCTGCCGCTGGATCGGTAGTTGACCACATACTTTTCTCCTTCAACCGTTCCACAACAACCTGAATGCCATTCGTGACCATGGTGTTGTTCTTGGCTTTCTCGTTAAGTTGGTTCTGAAGAACTGCATCTCTCATGACCAAACCCAACGCCAAAGCAACTTGTCTTGCAACGCTATTTCCCACGGTTTTCCACTGTTGAACCGGTGAGCCAACCAAAACCTCATCATCTGGAAAGCCTTGGGCTCTACGAGCTTCCATCACCGTCATCACCCTATCCTCCTCCCAGTGAAGCCACCTCCCTGTGAACCTGCAATATGGGGATGGGAATGTGGTGACAGTCGGCATTAAAAAACGCGGATGTATCCGACTGAATGCTCTTTGGCAGTTGCGTTGGCGTGCATTGCGGTGTTCCGGACAAAAGAACCCCCTAGCCACTGCTTCATGTAATCCTTGAATCCTCGGAGCCTTTGGTACACTGTTGATTATATGCTGATTGACAGCGGACTCAAACCGTGTAGGTCGATGGTCAGGGTAGTCAATGGGAGTAATTCCTGTCCTGATACGAGGGAGATCTTTTAAGGATTGGGAAATTGGTAAGAAGTCAAAAACAGGGATCTCCCAATGTCTTTTTCCAAAGGGCAAGCCATTGGGGGCCTCGCCTAGGGATTTTTGTGTTGTTTTTGGTGGGTGGGAATGGGTGAGAGGAGGATGTGCGGGTAGTTGTAGTCCGGGTGCTGCAATGACGATGAAAAGCCTGGACCTGCTCTGAGGAGCTCCAAAGCTCCAAGCGTCCAAGTTAAGAACTCTAGCTTGGTATCCCATACCAACAAAGGTGCATAATAGCTGACATAGCGGATTTCTCTTATGCGTGCGATTTGACATAGCTATCACATTCTCCAATATGGCATACTGTGGTCGGTAGAAATCGACATACGAAGCAACTGACGCTATCATGGAAGAATTTTGCATAGATACTGCATTGTTTTTGCGGTTATTCACATTGGAATAACCTTGGCAAGGGCTCCCAGCTGAAATAACCTCCACGTCACCTAACTTGGCAATTAGATTACCTGCTTCTGCTTTTTGTTGCAAAGCTTGGAGAAGGAAATCATTAACAGAGCCCAGGAACAGTTTTACCTTTTCCGGGTTTTCATGATTCGCACGATATGTGAGCATGGGAGCAGCGCTCCATTCCACAGCCCATCTATTTTTAATTGCTCCCCCTTCTTCAAGGCCTCTGTCAAAACTCCCTCCTCCACTAAATATGTTGAGTGCCCGAAGTTTGCGAAGGCTGCTGTCCTCAGAATAATCATAGCCTTCCCTAAATCCCACTGGCGGATGTTGTATAGAAACAAGCTCAGAGCCCCTGTCAGAGGAGATCTCCTGCACGGTTACGTAAAAAGCATCTCCAGTTCCGTCTCGGTTATAAGGTGCTGGAATAGAGCCGTCCCGTTTTTGCTCTTCGGTATAACATCGGACCTGGCATCGTCTCTCAATCTGATCTACATGAACAGTTCGAGTCCGATTCGTGTAGACGAGCTCATTCGGGCGACAACCTGCATCGTTGTAATCTCGTCCGCGGCGGAGAAATACCCGTACATTCACTTGTCCAGATTCGCCGAACCCCAAGATTTCCGCTGGCTCGAGATTTATTTGATCGGGGTTTAATTCATCGAAGTTTTCAATTAGGACCGTGTCACCAACCTTGAACTCTGGTTTTGACCTGGGTTTTCGGCATTGGCATTTGAAATGTTCTTCTTTTAGAGAAGTGAAAGTTTCATCCTCTGAGAAATATGTCTGTCGAATGAAAAACTGTGCCCCTTTCTCCGCTTGCTGGGCAAAAAATGTCACCGTGACCTTCTCGACAATGTCCGAGGTATCTATGACACCATCTTGACAGTTGCAATGATCGGAAAAAAAGATCTCATTCGCATGAGGATAAGTTAAATCTGCACACACAGTCTCGGAAGGTCGGTAGAGCCAAATTAAACTTAAACGTGCTGGGCGGTTCTTGCGGGGTTGCACATCCTGGACGGCAGCATACCACAAGTTTTCCGTGCCCTTCCAAGGGGTTTTAAGATCCCTTCGGATGGCAATGACATCCTTTGGGCGAATTGCTGTAGTTGAGTCAAGTCCAACAGTAAACCCTGATTTCATTTTCTTCACTGGCATTACTTTTGGAAGAAATCCAAGCTCTCGGAGCCGGGTCTGGTGGCTTGCTGAGATCTGAGGATCAAGCTCAACAGCAGTAAGGTGATTGCCCCACTCCATGTTTTTGAAGCATTGATATACATATGGCGTGACAATGGTCCCTTCTGCTTTCTGCGGTTGCATTGGAAGAACAAGGTTGTCCTGCGTAACACCAAGTTCAGCCCATAGAGGATGAGTGCAGTAAGCAGGATCCAAATCCCATGCTTGTTTCTCAAGAAAACTGGAGTATGAATTAATCGCTTGTCTGAAATCAAGACTTCTGTATTCAGCCATCCACCTTATGAAGGACGTATCAGTGCCGTGCAGATCCGTTAGCCAGGAGGAAAAATCAATTTTAAAGTGGTGCAAGGTGACATTTTCATGATGGTGGAGGTAATCAATGAAGTATTTTGCAAGATCGGCAAGCCAACAGAAGGAATGATAGTAGTCCTTGTATTCAGGTGCAGGCGTGCCCAATTGATACCATAGGTCTCCGATGGATGTAGACGTGCCATAGAGCGACTGGATCCACATATCCTTTCCCACACTGTGTTGTTCGACGGCTTCATACCCCCCAATCGACACAAGGCGAAACGGCACCCTCTCCAGGTACTGCCCCTGGTTCCCGGGACCTTTCAGTACGCCATCAAAGAAAAATACGACAGTCTGCTTTCCAAACTTTGTAGCAACCTGATCTAGCGAAACCATGCCATGGGGTGTCGGTGAGTGATCAGGCAACGCATAGATCACGAAGTCATCCAATTGAAAGCTAATAAATTCATTCTCGTCATATGTCTGCCTATCAATTCCTGGCTCATTGAGCAATGCTTCCACCGCCTCTCTTTCAGTAGATTTTGGTTTAGGTGCTTCATGGCCCTGGTAGATTGTCTTTGGGAAAGTCAACGGCGGTAGCGAAATACCAACCAATTCCTCCAAAGGGTTGCCATGACCTTGGGTAGTCTCGGAGAGTTGCTGCGCTTGTTCGGAATCCAGTCCCTGTTGCTGCTGGTAGGCAATATCTAGGGATGCACTAGCATCCTCCGAATCTGTCGAACCGACCATTTCTTCATATCACGGGTAGAGAGACAATAAGCTATTATAAAGAACATATTAGTTTGTGACATCGTGTTTCTCTTTCTGCTCAGGACGATTACGTACATGTACACGTACATACATTACGTGCTAGTTCGGAGGAACATATGACGCAAGACTAGAGAAAAGGAGAGGAAGAAAACATTGTAGGCTAAACCCACGAGATTCGACAAAGGGATGTGCTAGAGACGGAGCTGCGTTGTTGGCTCAATGGAAGCTCTGGAGTAAATGTTTGTATTGTTTTCGCGTCGAGTTCTCGCGTCCATGCCAAGCAAGGAAAGCACTCGCAAACAAACCCTTATTAGTTAACTAAGTTAAAGCAAAAGCGGCCGAGCCGATGCATGCACAGACCCACCAACGACGGGGAAAATATTCCACATTCCATTTGCAACAAGAAGGGTGGCATAAATATAAATACCACAATCAGGCGTCACGAGCAATCTGTGAAGCACCAAAACAAGGACAAGTCCATCATCGTCTTGGCGGTCTCAACGACATGGTAACAACCTCCTCAGTGATGCCAACAAAGGTACCCCAGCCATCTTCATGATTGTGATGCGTGGGATATGAAGTGTGTATTATGATGATGCTCTACCACCAGGCCGCTAAACATTCACCAAAATACATGCTCTCCCAACGCGCAAGATAGATGCATTTTTCTATGCACTCACCCCGCGCGCCTAACGAGGAAAAGGCATTTTTCCCCTACAGGAGTCGAGAATCGAGAGGGCACGCACGCAATCTTCAACCATTCACAGCCTGTTCCACGGTGCAAGTTTTGGCAAAGAAGGTTGCGAAAAACAAACTTCCAATTCCCCTGCATTCAAACACCAAAGAAGAGAAAGCAGACTCCTTCTTCTCGAATCATCAATTGACGAATTGATTGGCTTACCTGGACTTCTCCTTGTAAGATTGCTAGGGCTTAGAGCATCATCACGGGGTCATCATGTGACCCACACATTCTATAGTTCTCCTTCTCAAGAATCAGTAATATCATATCCTGACATAACACTGCTGTCACCCTGGTATCCTTGTAATCAAGCTCTAACACTCCTCTACACTCAACTGCCACTTAAGCCGGTCTGCGAGTAACCTTGCATGCGTGAGCAGCAAGTTGTCCATAAAAACTTTGTTGTGCTGCCGGGGGTGCTCAATATCCATATTTACTCAGATTCTCAATGGCTACCCACAAAGTTAACTACACATGTACAGTACATGTACACACTGTACATGGACATACAGCGGGCTGGGCATCCTCGAGAAGCAAACATTTCCGAATGACTGTCGAAAAGCCGCTGCTTAGAATAAATGCCACAAAATCTGTCTAATTAGAATTCGGATGCTTGCGGTACGGATTTTACCGTGAACAATATTTTTTTAAGTAGATACATACATACCTGGTTTAGTTAACATGATTGCCATCCGTTCCCTCAGATCGCAACCACAATATCATGTACCGAACAGATACCAACTATTCTTTGATTAAAACGCCACCAGAAAATTTTAGCTACGTATTTCGGGAAATAGATAAGAGATTCCAATACCTTTTATATACTGTATTTATCCAACACCAGAGGGATTTGTCACATTTGGTAGAAGATTGAAAAATTGATAGACAAGACAGGGAGGTAAAAGGGGTATAGGGAAAATGAAGGGGGGGAGAGTTGAAGAGAGACAAGGAGAGGGGGCGGGAAATAGCGCGGGAAGAGCATAGAAATTCTCTTCAACAAAAGTGGATAGTTAAAAGACTTCACAAAAGGTGTATTGTATGTACGTTAGCTCGCCATGAAATTAGGTCCTGGCAGAGAGTATAGATAGGGGTCTAGTAGATCTGTATTTATACAAAAGCAGGAGGCATGCCCCATGGGAGATTTGATGCGATTTGGCTAGATATCGTATGAATATATATATATATATATATAGATAAAAGCAATAGAAAGAAAATAGAATAGGTAGCCACCGCCGCGCCTAAAAGTCCTATGAAGATGCTTATAGCTGAAATATACCTGTTAAGTCCTTGTTATGAGGGACTGAAAGTGTGTTAGGATCGAGAGAAGAAACATATAGATGGGATCTTGTTTTGTATATAGAGGGAAGAAATGACAAGAAAAAAGCATTACTTTCTGGGAGGCTTGATAATGCTGGAGGAAAGAGTGGTACCTAGGTAGAGTAGTAGGTTGGTATAGGGAGAGCAAGAGCCAAAAGGCTCATGGGAGGGAGAAAACGTTTTAAAAATGATACAAGCAGCCCTGAACAGCAACCCCAAAATTCCCAGACAAATATTTGGGAAAGCTTAGATTGTATAAAAGGGCCAAATGAAAAATGCAAAAATAAAGAAAATAAAACATATAGACACCCCGTTAATTCATAAATGCATTCAAGAGATAAAAGAGACAGGATATGACAGGGCAAATAAAAATAATAAACAGAAATTAAATGTAAGTCGTGAATAGACTATCGTTTTTTTCTGCATGCTTGCTCCCCCTTTCAGTGGTTTGTTGATTGCGGCATTTGAGCCCAGAATCATCGAAATCAGAATTCATTTCGTGATCCAACCTCCCCTCCTGGTTCTCTCGACCGGGATCCCAAGCCCCCAGAGCTAGACCCATCCTTATCCTTACCCTTACTGCGTCGGGAGAAAGTTTCGAAAAGCCGATATTTACTCGTCGTATCCCTCGATACACTAGCTTGTCTCCCCTTGGTCGTATCCGAATACTCGAGTGAATAAGTGGAAGAGTTTTTCGAACTATCCGCACTCTCGCGGGGCTCGTATTTCTGCTGGGACGACGAGAAGGGAAGCCGTCCATGTTCACCTGTAGCTGATGCGGAACTCGAAGGGGTATCATCGTCACCTTCATCGCCTATGCTGACATCCGTCGATCGGTGTGGGAAGGGAGGCCGCGAAAAGTAGCCCATCGAATTCCGGTTACTGCTAGCAAAGGCAGAACCCGGGCCGCCGACTATTGTTTCCACGCTGGGTGTGTTTGCCTTGCTAGAACTATCCTCATAGAACGTTGCGGATTTCTCCATCTGCTCAACCAACTCCTCCCATTTCAATTCCAGATTGCCGCTTGGCCGCTCTGCCTGTTCTGCCCTATTTAAGCAATCCTTGGTGCGTTGTTGGAGCGCGAAGCACAGTTCATGGAATTTGACGAGGTTTGTATCGACTTCTGGAAGCTCGCTGAAATTAGCTGGCACTAAATCGAGCCATAATCTCACCAACAAGGCAAAGCTTCTGGCATGATCGATAAGGAATGGCAAACTAGGGAAGCCCTCACGCGACGTGGGAGGTAAACGGCCTAGGATCTGAATTGGTGTGGCATAGGAGGGATTGACAATCTGAGCCGGACGCTCAGCTGGTATAGAGCAGATCGAATCTACAAAGTCTTTGAACTCTACGCGATGAGATATAAGAAACTTGTTCATTGGTTCCATCCAAGGCTCCTTATTGCCAAAGGTCGTCATGTTTGCTAATCCCTGCAATGCCTTGGCGATGAGAGTGAGAGTACGCTGAGCACGCGGGCGAGGGTGTTCTAAGAATAATATTTTAGTGGTTGAAACATTTGGAGGAGCTTTTTTTTGAGAGAACGGTCGCTATTACAAACCTTTGAGTAGTCCGAATAATTTAGGGTTTAAAATCGCCGGGCAAAAGAAGCGTAGGAAAAGGAAGCCGGAAACGCTACTATAGGTAACTGTCCGAAGGAAGTCACCGTAACGGTCTTCTGCGCAAGCTCTGATATGTCGGAAGATGTGTCTCAGCTCCGCCGGACATCGCGACGGGGAGCTAGCAATTGACGTCCACACACTGCTGGTAAGAATGATTAGATTCCTCCAGTTCCGTTCTAGATCCTCCGGTCGCTGTACTCGGTTGGGATCAATTTCACAGTCCGGATCGCTCTCATCGATATCTCTAAGCTTTGAGCCTATTGTTTCTTCCAGATATTCCTGCCCTAACCGGCGCATATGTAAATCCAACGCTTTTGTTAAAAGTGAGTTGCCTCTGAAAAGCAAGTTTGCCTCGACAGTGGCCGATCTGCCTAGATCACGCACTAGGACTTCCCTTTCCTGTCCGGATTCATAGGAGTCGTTTGAGTGGATTCGGCTAGTGTATCTTAGCCGGCTAGCCGAGGACTCCTTATGAATACCATCAATTTCATCCTCGACTAATGCCATGATCCACTCACCAGCTTGGCCTGACACTTGGAATATGTCCAATAGGGTTTCTGATAGCGGTCGTAGCTCCGCGGGTATAACCTGTGCAAGCTGTATAGTAAGGCCGTTAGGGAAGGAATGTAGTAGTTCGGACATCGCCGCATAGTCTTGAGACATCAGGACGACGGTTTCCTCGAGCTGAACCTTCATCAGCATTTCTCCAACCTGCTGCTCACTGTCATCAAGTATAGGCCACCACTTCTCTACACCTGACGCATCTAGTTCATCCAAGCGCAAGTCGATTTTACCGTACGTTACGTCATGTGAAGCAACCTCGACATCTCCAACAGTCATTGGACTGGCTTCGTCTTGATTGAGCGAATAAGGTCCATGGGTTACAAGCGTCCACTCCTTTTGCGTAGGGGTAAGCGACTTTACGATAACTGATGCGCTGGATAGCACAGGTGGCAGATCGTGGAAGCTGAAGTCTTCTCTCCAAAACGGCGTTGATGTGGCAGTCTTGATGGCGGTTTTTGCCCTTATCTCCCCATCCAGTAATACCTCAGCATAATACTCTCCAGCAGCCCGATTATTCTGCTGAGTTTTTCCTGTTGTTGCTTGGGTTTTGATGATTTTTTTATTTTTCGGAGTATCACTGTCGTCTTTAAGAGGTGCGGTCATCTTCGCCTCGATCACTCTCACTGATAACAGTCGTTCAATGCGGAACATGTCAGTTAAAATAGCTGGATGGGATGTGGGTGAGGCTTGACTTCGAGGGTCTTCGTTTGCTGGGAACTGCTCGGGGCCATATAATTCTGGAATAGTAAAGGCTCGAAATAATACAAACCAAACTTCAAAGAGAATTCGAGACTCGAAAGACAGGTATATCGGTCGTGTGGTGACTTCTGTACCGGAATGGGCGGTGTACTGTGGGTAGATAGCAATGCAGAACTCGTCTTCGAGAACGGAAGGGTCTAATTGCTGAATAGCACATCGAGAGAGCTGGAATAGCTGGATAAAATGTATAGGAGTGATATCCGACTCTGGAAAGATCTTGACATGGCCGTTTTCTTGTAAAGAGCAGCTCACCCTTCGCCATGAAGGCGATAACGCTCTCTGCTGCTTGAACGCTGATACTCTCGCTGCAGACGTGGGGAGATGCACACCAGCGGCGCTAGGTTTATCCCAGAGCATCATTTTTCCAACTTTAATAATTGCAGCATCCTTTTGCACTGTACTCTCAGAGTTCCTTCGACGGTCCGTGAAACGCCGTTCGCCGATTGTCACGCTTTGCGGTTTGGTCATCTTATCGCGTACCCCCTTTGGACGTATGGGTTGCCAGCAGAGCAGTGCTGCTAGCCACGAATCGAAGGTCTCGTTGACATGGGGCCGTAGTTGAATGCCCAGAGAAGAAGAGTGTGTTGAGACAGAAAGATATGAGCTCTGGATTTCTGAGTCATATAGTGTCCTAACATGGCAACCGCGGAGATCCGGTATCAATGTCTTCGCAAGCGCTGGTTCACCCTTGGCCTGATAAATCAAGCTTCCAGTAGCGACATTGATAGCGCAGTAGCCCGAAGTCCAAGCAGCAGTAGCAGAGGTACGGAAATACAGTATCCCGTGCATTCGACCGCAAGTTGTTTTCATCAATTGGAGGATCTTTGAAGAATCTGTGTTTAGCAACGGTGACCCCAGGGCGGCATCAATGCGAGAAGAATTCGACACCAACGATTGTCCTCCCGGTGGTGCCTTAATCAATTTCTGCTGCCGCTGGGTGGGTGACTGGATAATTGAAGGATAACCAATGGACCCTATCGAATCCTCTGGGGACTTGGTACTTGCAGGAGAAGTAGTATTGAGGGAGCCTAATCTAGTTCGTGTTCTTGAGAGGAAATTGGGGGAGACCTCACTTCTCTGATCTTCTAGAGTCGTGGTCTGCGACCGTAATCTTCGACTCCTTTGCTCGGATGGGACTTCATCTTCTTCGCCGGTAGAATAGAACGGTGTAAACTCACGTTTCGCTTCAGAAGGTTTGCTGCGAATGGTTGTGCGTGGCGAGACGGTGGTGCTTGGTGGGATGTACTCTGCATCGGATACGGGGGACTGATTCGTTTGGTCCAGCGGAGAATCGGGGGTTTCCGCTCGGGTTGTAGTGTCTTGAAAACTGTCAGGATACACAATCCCGTGACGGTCCTTGGAAGTGGATTTTTTACTGGGTCTTCGTTCCACCGGACGGCTGTGGCTCTCCTGGCGGGCAGAGTTCCGCTTAAACCCATTGCGGCGCTCTGACTCCATATTTCCTGTGTTCCTCAACTACACACCGGCGGTCCGCACAGATCTATCGGGGATGAGAAGGCATACACGAGTCGGTGGGCGGGGTTGGGGGAGGAGGAGAAATGATGGGCTGCCGTGGGAATGGTGTACAGACGATCGGTCAAGGCACACAGAATCTCTACTACCAGGTGTGCAGGTCACGCAAACGTCAATACACGGTAATTATAAATCATAACGGGCAATAGGGCAAACCAAAAAAAAAAAAAAAAAAAAAAAAAAAAAAAAAAAAAAAAAGGGCCCAATGGCTCCTTATTCACGATAGACGAGGAAATTTTTCGAGGGACGAACCGAATCGTGGCACATCGGTCGAGTTGACGGCAGGTCTTCGTTGTGGTGGGGAGAAGGTAGAGGTCAAGTGCTTGGCCACCAAACCAATTCGAAGGAGTCTTCTCTCTAGGCCTGGGAACCTCCAATGTATGTGGTTACTGAGCCTGCTGATGGTCAACATTCCATTCATCATTAGCGTCTCCACGAGGAGCATGTAGGATGTATCTAAGGGACTTCAGGCTGTAGTTATGGTGGTAACAGGCGAGAAGCAACAGGAAACCGAGCCAAACCACAAGGCAAATATTGAAGACTCTCCTAACAAGCCAGAAGGAAGATGGGGAAAAGGGGGAAAAGTCGTAAAAAAGTTATCATCGAACTAACCTTCATCAATGTTACCGCAATTGCCGACCAACCAGGTTGCGCATCCTCGAGCAAAAGTGCAGTATGGGTGCCGGAGAGGCGGTAAGCAGACAACTGTCAAGAATACAGAAGAAGGGAGGATTTGAGATAGGTGTAGATGGATGATTGGAAGGGGGCGGGAGTTGTAACGATTAGTTACTAGGTAGTAAAAGGGTATGGAGGTCGCAAGGGGAGGGAAAAAAGATACAGATATTCCAAAACACCCTGGGCACACACCACACACTACGGGCACCGGAGCTCATGGGGTGAGCGAGCAGCGCAGTTATGCCTTGGGAAAACCACCAATCGCAATAGACAGAGAGCGCTGGACGTTGTGGTGGTGCTGGCAGCGTAGTTGGGCGCTGGGTGCCGTGGTTATGGCAATGATGGATGATGGATGGGAGGGAATGGGAGTGGGAGTGGTGGTGGTTGGTGGTTGGGTTTGGATTCGGCTGCTGGCGATCAGCGCTCTTCCTAATCCAGGCGCTGGGGACTGGGCATTCCTGGGCGCAACACACTCACCCACACAAAACACGATCTTTGCTCTCAGCGTACAAGCCACGAGAACCTGCAGAAGAATCGGAATCGGAGGATGGGCTTACAGACCGAATACCGGACTGTCCTGTCCATTATTAATTAATTTAATGACTGGACTGGCAAAGTGGGCGGTGGAAACAAACAAGCTAAATGACAGCGCTGCATGAACTATACCATACCATCAGTTGGTATTACGCCGGTATGGAGAGATATGGTTGGTGGGTGTTTTTTTGCTCGGCTCATCTCTAGGCTGACATTCTCTCTCATTATTCTCCTACTCTGTACGGAGTACAGAGTGCTCTCAACTACGACGGATCCATTCCTCTTGCTAACTCAAAGGGGCAGTACCTTTCGTCCCTTGTGTGGCCTCGCGCCCTGTGCTAGCTTCTACGTGCCTACGATGAATTTACAGGCAATTGTTCGAGGGACTGGAGAGGGAGTGCACACACCCAACTTGCCCATTTCCTTGCCGATATCCTCCTCCTATCTATTATAGATTTCCCCGGGATAAAAAACGGGATTGAGAGGCCTAAAATTAGACACACCAAAATCGTGAAAAATCATTGAATATATAACTACCATAAATGACATGGATAGTTACTTAGAGGTAACAACGGGGACTCAGGCAAGAGGAAATGAGCTTCCTTCAGTTGCGCAGAGGTGGGGTGTTAGGAGGGTTCCCCCTGTCGCCTCCTCCTGGTGTTAGTTCCGGGGCCTGGTCCGTTTTATGTCCCTTCCTTGTCGATTTCTCACCGATCACGAGTAGTTCGGGGTACGGCGGTAGTTATCTACTGCGTAGTTAATAGTTAACGAACTTCGGAAGCATTGGAGTCATACGCTTAGTAGTTATGGGTCCACTCGCTCCCTTAATAAATGGACGCCATATTTGTCTTTGTACCCGGTCTACGATTCAGCATCCCTCTGTTTGGCTAGGACTTTTTTCGCCATTTTCACTTTCCATTCTTTTCATTTTTCCCTTTTTCTAGGGGAGTTTTATCCCAGCCCGGCAAGCAAAAATCTTGCTGGTCATATGACTGCACCGCACCCACTTGTTTGGCTCCATTTTTAATCGGTAAGTTTTATGTAAGTCATTCTTTACTAAAGTAGTTACTCCGTAAGTTAACTAGCAGAGAGAGTTCCACCGCACTTTTCCAGAAGGCACTTACCCATTCGTCCCAGCTTGGGAACGAGGGGCTCCTTTGTCTGTGATTGGCCCCCGCTATATTTTCCCTGAGGCTCCAAAAGATAGCATTATGTCATCGCCAGGCCCACCACCCAAACCAAATGTTTTCGCGATACCGCTAGGATAATATGGGAGGGAATATGAGATGTAGTTAGTCGACCGATTGGCAGGCAGGAATGAGCAAGATTCTGTGTTTTCAAAGCCCCTCTCTGCGCGTGCTCAATAATCTTGACATCCCTCAACTCGTACTTGGCAGACTTTTTTTTTGGGGGGGGGGGGGGGGGGGATCCTTCGTTTGATGTGATCATCGGCTTTAGGGCAGCTGTTCGCACGCAAAAAGAACAAAGACCGGCCACGGTGAGCTTGGCCGACTTTCTTGATCAATGATAGGAAAAACCCGCCAACGTGGGTCGGATCCGGTTTCCCGCTTTCCTGTGAGGTCGGCCCGCAATTTCAGACAAAGAAAACCCTCTCACTTTATCTCAACATACTCACTCTCTCTTCTCAATAATTTTAAAATAATGTAGATAACTAAACTTCTGTAGACTTACACTAAGTTCTGCTAAGTTCTGCCAAATTCTGAATTAATTCAAAAGTTTATATATACTTATAATATAATATTTTTTTTAGAGAGTTTAAGAAGAAATAGTTTTATTTTCTGAAAAAATAATATCTTTTATATAACTCAATTAATTTTATAACTTTATATTTACTTTAAAACTATATGAAATAATTTTTAAATTAATAATTTTAAACTTTAATATCTGTTAAATTCACTAAGTTATTCATAATCAGCTCAACTGCTATTTTATAGTCATTATTATTATTATATTATTTCTAACTATCTCTTCTGTCTTTATCTCTCTTCAATACTCACTGAAATCAATCATGTTATTTCTCTTCAAATATTCTGCAGTTCTGTGAACTATTAAGATGTGTGAGTGCTATCACAGATTGAAGAGAGAGAAGAAGAAGATGTTTAAGTAAGAAGAAATAGATTATAAAACATGTTATAATATCTTGAAGAGACTCTGTAAGAAAGTAGAATAATAATAATTTTAAGTAACACTTCTGATGAATTTAGACTGAACTAAGTATAGAAATAATACAGATGACATCACATATGAGAGAATAAAAAAGAAGATAGTAAAGAGTTTTATATAGTAGTAATAAGACTAGAAGAAGTTCTGAGAATAATTTAAGATTAAGATAAAGAGAGAGATATAGAAGAAGAGTATTACTATAAATAAGTAATAGTAGAAGAAGATTAAAAGAGTATTAAAGTGAGAGATAAAGAAGTTAAAACTGATAAGTTTTTTATTTATTAAGAGATAATAATTTTTAATAATACTTCTATTCTCTAATTGATTAGCAGAAGCTGATAGAGAAGAAGAGAATTAAGATCTTATTCAGATATTAAATGCACTTCATGATTCAGAATATTAAGAAGACAGCTCTGCTTTCTAAGTATATCAATCTACTTATTACTGAGATAAAACCTGAGACAGTAAATCAGAAAATACAGGATTTTGAGATACAGATTAATCTAACTGAAGAAGAGCAGTGAAAACTCTTCTCTAAAAAGATAGTAAAAAGAGATTTTAAGATGATTATTATCTCAGATAAGAAGAAGAAGAAGAAGAATAAGAATAAGAAGTGAATTATAAAAAATAATAAGAAGAATAAGAAAGAGAAGAAAGATAATAAGTAGAAAAAGTTTTTTTCTTTTTATATTAATTAGTTATAAGTTCATAATTATTAATAATTGAAATTAATTTTAAGTTTTTAAAAATTATTATACAAGTTGTAATCAATGTTAGAAATAATATATATATATATATATTTAACTATCATGATTCACAAATCACTATAATATATAAGTATTAACATTTTTTCAATATTAATATTTATAATATTAATATATTTTTAATAATATTATCTGATAATATAATTTAATAACACTTTCTTTCACAATATTAATATATTTCAAGAAATATGATAGAAATTAATCAAGATTATTTATTTACTTTTATACATTGATGATATTCAATCTGAGTTAGTACTAAAATTATAACTAAGCTAAGAAAGAAGATTATTTTCTCTTATAATAATTCTTCTTATATACATCAGTGATCAGTTATTGAAAATAAATTATTATCTTTCTTAAATTATTATCATATCTTCTAAATTCACTTCTTTCACTTTTTTTATTATATTATTATTATTATTCTTTTATTATACTCATATGCAAGCGGAGCTTATGATGAGTCCTTGTGTGATGTTAAATACAGGTCAAGTGTTGATTATACAGGAGGAAATACAGGTGTTGAGACCATGCCAAGATAACAAGAACATAGGAAAATACAAAGGAGTGACAATTAGATACATGCGATAATAACTTCCCAGCCCAGGAACATAGAGCAATTCATTGGAGCGATTTGTACACCTCTGTATTTATTAGGAACCTGAGGTGCTTGAGTTCCGGATTTAATGTATCTCCTGCGGGTTTCGAACCCACGCGCCTTGGTTTCCCACGCCAAGGTGCTACCAGGTGGCTGCATTAACTATTCAGTCACTGAGGCTTTCACTTCTTTTACTTCTATTGAAGATTTATAAACTCTTCAAGAAATCACTGTGAATTACAAAGTGTATATTATTTATAATTCAATACAGAATACTCTCTTTTAATTATAATAAATAACTACTTCATTCTTCACATCTGATTTCAGATTACAAAATTTATGAAAAACTTAACATAAACACTGAGATGAACTATGAAATAATTATTAATAGATTATATTATAAATTACTGAAGAGTTATCTCTCTGCTACAATTACTGTAACTTTATTCAGAAATATTCATCATAAACTAATTATAACTCTGAAGAAATTTTCTGATATCTGAAGTCATCAGAATGCAGATAATAAAAGAAAAATAATCAGAAAATTACTACTGAGCTAATAAGTTACTCTATCAGATAATAATTTTTGATAACACTAACTTTCTAATTTGAAGAAAATTATATAAAAATAATTATATATTAGTACTCTGATTTCACAACTCTCATCTGATAACTTTTATAAACAATTACTTTATATATGCATATCTCTGAATCTTCTGAAAACTTCGAATTTCAAACACTTCTTCAAATATTTAATTCAAATCTTCATATTTCACATTGATTCTGTCTTCAGTTCAATCTTGAGATATATTATAAAGTCAATATATAATATCTAGAATCAGAGTTGAAGAATTATTAAAGAGTGTCTCTCACAGTGAATATATAAACTAGTATAAATAATCTTATATTTATAAAAGTTATATGTTATTACATTGATAAGAACTGAACTTATTAAGAGACATTAATTGAATTTAAATCATTGATCAGTAGTCATACTGAGAATTATATAGCAGAGATATTAATAACTGTGATTAAAAATAACTATTAAGATATTAGTCTCAGTCTTCTTATAATTACAACTGATAATACTGTGAATAACTACACTATAATAAAGAGCTTAAAGTAAAAATTGACTCTGTATTTCTGAAATGATAAATAAGATTATATTCTCTGCATTACTCATGTGATTTAACTTGTAATATAAACACTGATAAAGAATCTTAACATTGAGATAATAAATAATAAGATGACTGATTCTTGAAATAAGAATGAGATGAAAGTGATTACTTAAGTAACTTTTATATTCACTTTGTAAAAGATAATATTTTTTAATAACACTTTTTAATATTGCTTTATAATAATGATTTTTGATAATACTACTGTTAATTTTGAATAGATTGACTAATATTTTAAATATCACAGATTCAAAACATTATTAATACAATTTATATCTTCTCTAAATAATAACAATAATTCTATAATATTCAATAAATAAACAAATCAGTTATATCACTGAATATGATGAAGTTTAATATATAAAATAACTGTTTAAGCTCTTTAATTGTGTCAGATGATTAATCATTGAGTGTAATACTCTGATTGAGAAAAGATTCAGATATTGAAACTTTCTGATATAAAGTGAACTCAGTTGAAATATGTAATTGATTTACTGTTTCAGTTTTATAAGATAATAAAGACAGTCTTAATCACTTATATATTAATACTGCAGTCAGTCTGATGAGTGTATAACAGTTTATTTACTTATTTTAAGAAGTAGTTGAATCACTCAAAAAGAAATTCAGTCTGAAATAATACTATAGTGCAGACTATTATTGCTGTAAGAAATAAACTGATATATTACTACAGTAAAACTGAATAATCTTTTACAGAGTACTATGCTATAGCAGCTCTACTAGATTTCTCTCATTAAGTTAATATCTACATCTCTTAAGATTGAACAGAGAAGAAATGAGACTTATATATTAAATTACTCTGAGACTACTACAATGTCAACTATCAGAGATTTGAAGAAGCAGATATTTGAGATGTGAAGACAGTGAAATACAATTCTCTAGTAAGTAACAATCTTTGATAATACTTCATATTACATAGAACTATAATACTAACTTTGAAACAGAACTTGTATACATTGATTACAACTGAAAATCAGGTAAAATTATATACTTATAAAACTGAATTTGACTGCTATCTTTCAAGATAATCTGATGAATTTACACATCAAATCAATTCTAGAGTTATGAAAAATTGTTAAGAGTATATATTTAACTGTTGTACTGATAACATGTGATATTCTGATAATTTCATTGACAGAGATGAGAATGAAGTGAAAGTTCAACTCAAGCTGAGATATTTATCACTATCAGTGAGAATAATTACAAGAAGAAATAATCAAGAAACTTATAATTATAAAACATGAAATTATCAGATAGTTTAATATCTCTGATCACAGTATATCAGAGAAGTGTAGTTTTTATAAGAAAGTAAAGAATAAACTTGTATAAGAATGTATTTAGATATTTCATGAGTATTATCAATAATCATTATCAAATTCTGATTATATAAGCAATTACTGAATAAACTGAATGAGACTGATTTTAATTCTCAGTCTC